GGCAAACATCTAAAGATTTGAAATGTAGAATTTCGCAACATAAATACTCTGTAAAACATGGCCGATTGTCTAATGCTTTGTTTGTTCATCTGTCAGAAGATGCTCACCAAATTGATTGGGAGATGGCTTCTTCAATAACGAATTGTAAAAGCACCTATAACAGAAACATAATTGAATCTGCTTTGATACAGATCACAAAAGAAAGAAATTAGAACATTAGCAGTGGTTTATATAACTTAGATCCATTTTTAATAGATCAATTAAAGGGCGATTTAAGTAGGATCATTGGAACACATTTGTCTCACTAATTCATTGTAAATATTTACTATTTTATGCTATGATTATCCATGTGTGGGCCTGTGTGTGGTTGCTGCATCGGATGGGCCAATAGGCCCTCTGCAGTGTCCACTTATTGTACCTCACCTCACTCCACCATTCTCTCCTGCCTATTTATGTCCAGTACTCGACCTGTAAAATCACTCCTTCTGAAGATGTATTAATATACGAAAGTATTTAAGGAAATTCCTGTTTCAATTTTCCTCCGTGGTCTGACACTGTCATATATATATATATATATATATATATATATATATATATATATATATATATATATATATATATATATATATATATATATATATATATATATATATATATATATATGTCGTACCTAGTAGCCAGAACTCACTTCTCAGCCTACTATTCAAGGCCCGATTTGCCTAATAAGCCAAGTTTTCCTGAATTAATATATTTACTATAATTTTTTTCTTATGAAATGATAAAGCAACCCTTTTCTCTATGTATGAGGTCAATTTTTTTTATTGGAGTTAAAATTAACGTAGATATATGACCGAACCTAACCAACCTTACCTAACCTAACCTATATTTATAGGTAAGGTTAGGTTAGGTAGCCAAAAAAAGCTAGGTTAGGTTAGGTTAGGTAGGTTAGGTAGACGAAAAAACATTAATTCATGAAAACTTGGCTTATTAGGCAAATCGGGCCTTGAATAGTAGGCTGAGAAGTGCGTTCTGGCTATTAGGTACGACATATACATATATATATATATATATATATATATATATATATATATATATATATATATATATATATATATATATATATATATATATATATGCGAACAAGCCTGAATGGTCCCCAGGCATATATGCAACTGAAAACTCACACCCCATAAGCAACTCGAACTCATACTGCCAGGCGCACTACGCACTGGTGTACAGGAGACCTTAACCACTCGACCATCACGACCGTACAAAAGATGACGGTACTTGAGGCTATTTGTCCATCATCCCGACGGCAGTATGATGGTAATCTTGGGCATAGTTATTTTATCAAATCACCTCATTTTTTGGGGCCACGTGAGCAACTCAAATTAAGTTAGGTTCCTTTAATTTGTCCTTATACTATTTAATAAATAAAAAGGCTTTCCTAATGTGACGATGTCTATTCAATTTTGTAACTAGCTCATCAAGATTGTAACTTGCTTAGCTAAATAAATTGTGGTGTTCAGTCCCTGAGCCCATTATGTGCCTCTGTAACCCTTTCCACTACCGCCCACAAGATGGGTATAGGGTGCATAATAAATGAACTAAACCAACCTGCCTTAACATATCTTTATTGTATGATAATCTCATCAACATATCAGCATTAAGATCAGTGTGAAATTCCTGTTTTGGCCAGAATGTCTATCACTCTGCTTGAGTGGACTTTGTAATGTTTTTTTTCGGCAGCTTTATTTCCTCAGTTTCTGAACTGGTTTCTTTAGCTTGTATGTTGTAATAAACTATTCCAACATTTACAGTTGTTCTTCCTTGTGAAGATTTAACAAAAAATTATGCTTGTAAGGGTGATAAAGTTGAGCTCCGGCAGTACCCAGTCTTACTCCATAGTTCCACCTGTGTGGGACCAGTATAAGCCTAACATGTATATACACTGGCTGCCTGTCCCCTACACAATGATTTATCATTAACTATTATATACAGTATGCCCGGCTAAAGCGAACACAGTACAGTTTAGTCATAGGAGATTCCTAGATTGGAATTCACTACCAAATTTCAATATATCAAAGTATTTTTAGTGTGAAATGCTGTTATTTTATGCATAATTTGTTGTTTTAAGAATATTACGGCTATCTCAACAAAGAACAGTACATCCTAAGCAGACGTTACATAATGATATTCTCAACAGTAGATAAAAGAAAATTAATTGTTATCTAATACCAGTATAGTATAAAAACTTATCATAATAAGCTACGGGATTTGTGGATCAGTTTAAAAGGAATTCGGAAGTACTAATAACACAGCTGATGCCATCTGTCGGCAGAAGAGAACACTATCAACTGGCTGGTCAACAGTGGCCATAAGATACAGCTTACGCCATCTGTTGACATCAAATTACACTTATAACAAATTACCCTACAAAATACAACTAACGCCATCTCTGTTTTTTCCAACGCACTATAAATAGCCAAACAGCAACCCATAAGGCGGGTTGTTGTGCTCGGGTAGGAGGTTCCAAGCTCCGCCCACAGATGGTATGGGGTGCATAATCAATGATATTTCATTGGTAGAAACTCTTTGTTGACATTCACACAACAGCTAATCACAGGAAGGGATCAGCTAAAGGCTCCATCCACTTAATAAATCATCTTTATTCAGCACACCATCCTTGCTTATGATATTCTGCTTCAACTTTAATCTACATAAAAAGTGAAGGGTTATGTATTTAAAAGCATTAATAAAGTGATAATTAAATATTGCAGATTGTAACGAGTGTTACAGAAACATGGGCTGGCTACCTAGCTTGTGACGTCATCAGTGGAAGTTGCCTCACGCAAATAATATCGATGATACAATGCTCAGTTATCTTATTGGACTCGATTATTCAGTTAGATGGAAATTTCTGTCTTGTACAAAATGAAGAGATTGTGTTTGAAATAAAGATATTGTTGCGCAAAAAGACGTATTTCTTAGTTTACATTTAATTATAGAAAGAGTGTTGGCATTCCCAGCAACAGCCAATCACAGGAAGGTATTTGCTAAAAGTCCGTCTCCTTACTGACGTCTTCAGGAGCGACACACAGATCTAGCTTATGACTTTCTGTTTCATCTCTTGTATATAAAAAATATGAATATTTCGATTACTATGATTATTAAAGGTATAAGATTATAACAGTTGTTACACAAAATAGCTAAATTTTGTCATTAAGAAGAGATCATAGTGGATTTTGTAATAGTTTTACGGAAATCGTGTTATGCAATTTTTCTAAATATCTTCTTATATGGGTGATGACTTCTCAATTTGTGTTCCTAATACTTGAAGGCTTCTCTCCAGTTCCTTGTAGATTTTATACCAGTCAGAACAATGAGTAAGGGCTCTGAGTATAATTGCGTTTAATACACTATTCTTACGACTGCCTTTGAGCAGCCGGAGGGCAGTAATATTCCAGGAACATCAACTAAATTTCGGAAACTTGAGGCAAAGTGAAATTCACACCAGTTACTCCATCTATCATCATTACATCGGTGGTGTACAGGATTATAGAGACACATAATCGGTTCAGGAACTGAACCCTCTAGTTCGTTTAGCTAAGCAAATAATTTTTGACGCAAGTTACAAAATTATTAATGTTATATATACATGTACACACTCTCATATATATATATATATATATATATATATATATATATATATATATATATATATATATATATATATATATATATATATATATATATATACATACACATACATATCTAATCACCCACACAAATACACACATCAATAATCTTTGTGTCACAAGTGATCAACAAGAGACTCACAACAGTCACTATACAAGGCACTTTACATCTATAGTGAGTCACACAGTTACTAGTCTTGCTGCACACCCACCCAACTGGGCGGCAGCTTTACAGTCATGTGCATGCATTACCTACAGTAAGCAAATTTTGGATACTTCGCTAAGATTTCGGGCAGCACATAATTATGAATGAAATACTTACACATTTCTTGGGTACCATTAATGGTGTTATCTCTAAATTCCGCGATTTTTTCACATTCCATTATATAATGGCGCAAAGTATGCGAATAGTTCTGCTGACAGAGTTTACATTTAGTCAAATCTACATCAGCAGATGTTACAAACTCCCAGAGGTACTTGTAGCCGAGCCTAAGCCTAGCAGTGGTAACATCTAGAAGTCTGCTAACATTATTGGATGATCCATAGAAGTGCGATTCTTCCTGCATAATAGAATGATGATAGATGGGGTAACTGGTGTGAATTTCACTTTGACTCAAGTCTCCGAAATTTAGTTGATGTTCCTGGGATATTGCTGCCCTCAGGCTGCTCAAAGGCAGTCCAAGTTGGTAATCAATTCCCTCTTTATGAGCAAAAGTCTTGGCTAACTCATCAGTTCTATCATGCATTCGGAGACCAATATGGGAAGGAATCCACAGGAGACAAACTCTGACTCCATCATTGATTATTTCACTATATCTGTGTCTATTCAGTACAAGAGCTCCCAAAATTAACACATAAGACATGTGGACTCTACATGTGTGTGGCTTCTGACTTTGTTTTATTAATTAATATCACATGTTAGTCATTTACCGTTAATACATATTATATATAAGTATAACTATCACACAGTAAATGCAACAAGAGTCTACCCAAAAAATGGCCACGGTTTAGTGTTTTGTGCGTTCGACCATGTTTGTGGGCCTTCAGATTTGAAGTGTTAACGCTAGCGGGCGTCGTTCTTATGAAACCCGGATTATGTCCATTACATCACTCAACTTCATTTAATAACTATATACCTGTTAAGTATAAGATTTTAACTGTTAATAGCATTATATTGTGGTTTTAATATTGAGTTATGATATATATACCAAATGTACTAATTTTGTGTCCGAAATGGTGAAAATATATGTGTGCGCTCCGTGTGTCGATTCGCTAAGTATCCTAAACATGGCAACACTGTGACGTCACCAGCGGCGCCTGACACCCCTGAAAATTCAGGTACTGTTGTTGATGGACAGTTAGTCGGCATCAACATTGTAACTAACGCAAGTTGTGGTTTTTGCTCGACCAGGATGGCTTTAATAAAAGCCTTCCTTTGTTAGGTGAGAGACTGAAGAGTTTGAGGAAGCGACGAGTGTAGATGATCGAGCTGTGGCTGAAAGACACCAGTGTGTCTTTGAGGAAATTGGGAATTGGAAAAACAAATTGTTTGTTTTGCATCGGAAATATTTTTTCATTTGTCGATAATTATTGTTTGTGCTATTTTGTCTTGAGTATAATCCGACTGACTTAGTTCACAGTTAGCCTTGGTCTTCCAGCCTGCATTTGTGACCTGATTTCAGGCTAAGTATGATAGGTATGGTGCGTTGCCTTATCTTTCTACATTTTATCAGGCTCGGACAGCACCCTTGTGCCCTGTGATCCAAACACTGTGCTGACATTAAAATTGTGACGTGGCACACTGTATATATAAAACACAACCTTTTATCTTGTTGGGTTGAATTAGGGTAAATTTGGCAAGGTTTGCCACTGGATTTTGTCTTAACTTTCTCGAAGCAAACTATAACCCAACTCAAGGTAACACAAGCCAACCTTGCAGTATATACTGTTTCAATAATTATATAAACAAGGGTTGTTGAAATTCCTGTGTATGATTTCACTGTACCCCTTCTTGGTTTCAAGTGCTATATAGTCATATTGGCTTTGAGCTTTTTTTTCTCTCCTGGTAATTACCTTACCTTTTGGGCTGTATAGGTTAGGTAGGGTTCCTCTAGGTCTCTCTATATACTGTGATTTAAATAGAGATTCATGGAATATACTGTATCTATACATCACATATGACCTAACCAAGGACATAGTAAGCTTTTGATTTGAGATCTTTTTTGTTTTTTTGCATCCTAATCTTTCTAACATAGTTTTCTGGGCATAGAGGTCACTACATTCCTAAAATGGTTCATCAACTGATTTTAAAACTTTCCTAGCTTAGCATAGTAACCAGAATCGTTCAAAAAGGTATTATGACAAGTTATTGCACTCTGAGTATTGTACACCTTGTCACATTTCTGGTCAACTTGCTGCATATATATATTGTGTGTTAATTAATTGTGCTGTATTTCAGCAAGGTATAATAAAATCAATAGCAGTACATTATACCATGCTAACAAAAAAGTCCTAAGAAGCTATAACAAGCCCATATTAATAATAGTTTTTTTCCTTTCCAACCCCCCCAATGCAGTTCACTCTAAAAAAAATCTGCATACTATTGTGAACCCAATCCACATTAACGAATACTTGCATTTTTTGGGCTATTTATTATCAATTTTAAGATATTTTTGTGTAGTAAATTATAAAAGGTATGTTTTGGCATAATAAGACATCGAAAGAATAGATACACTGATTTTGATTGCGCAAGAATAACAATTATGATAAGAGAAAAACCTTAATTTGTTCACTTGCCTCTTTGTAGTACACGCTGTTCAATATATGAATACCCCAGAGATAGCAAAATACAGTAAGAGTACTCAAACTATCTGCTAAACTTCTCCACTCATCCTAAACTTGCCTTGAAGCTCTAAATGCCCATGAATAATGCCATTTTTCAGCTAGAGACTGTAACTGTTCACCATCAACAGCCAGCCCTAGGCTATCATTTAGGTAAAGTATTGGTAAACAGCATCATCCAATGATCTGCTGCCTGTGCATTTTATTTTATCATATAGTACTATGTAGTATTAATGCCGAACTTGGTCATTTGTTTTCCCAGCTACAATCACTTTTCTCTTATAAATGGGCCTTCTTATCAGTGTATTATGTTGTGTAAGTAAGTTCGTCTTATTCTTGCCTAGTGTATATATACTTCATTTGTCACATGATATGGTTTCAACTTGCATATAATGATCCTGTTCTGCATATCAAAAGAAAACCCAGTAAAAATGTTTGCATAACGAAAGGCTATACCCCACACAAGGTTATGCCCCCCCCCCCCCACACACACACACAAGGAAAAAACAATCAGTACACATGCCCTTACAGTACAGAAGGTTTGGAGGCCTCGGAAAAAGTTACATTAGCAAACTCATTCTTACCATTTGTTGTACAGTACAAGCTTATTAAAACATTTTTAATATACAAGGGATTATTTTGAATAATATTTTCAAATAAAATTAAAAGATGAGCAAAAAATAGGAAAAATTAGTTAAGAACAAAGTGAGCTAAATGCACATTTTACCCTGTACTGTAGTTGTTAATTTAGTTTAACCCATTATTTAAGCTAATACTTAGTCTTTTCTAAATTTGATTTTTTAGTCTTTATCTGTTAAAAAGCCTAATTTAATGTTGGTCCCCTAAATAGAAATTAATAGTTTTATCTAACTATAATAGTAATAATATTTAATGGTAATGTCTTTTCACAGGCATAATAACATAGGATAAAATACCACACTTGGTGTGGTACATAAATTTCACAAGTACACAAGTGTGGGTTTTTATCCTAAGTAATAATATTGATAATATTTAGTTTAATAATGCTGTACTGTACTTTACATGGAATAATAGTGATTTCTTTCTAAGATAACAGGCAACCCTAAATTAAAGTTTAATAGCTTTAAATGTGCAGATATGAAAGATATAGTATCTGAAAATATCCGGAAGGGTTAAAAATGTTGACTAAGTTGGGTCTGTCTGTTCCAGATCTTTGTAAAGCTGATAATGAGGGATTATGGCAGGATCTGATGTGTGTGTAGATTGCACAAACTTAAACACAGAAGGTGAACGAGTGTCTATAACCTTTCTTTCCTGTGTTGCTCTTAGTATACCCTATCAAATAGGGTAATGATGGTGCTATTTAATTCATAAAGTCAGCTTCATTTCAGATGTTGTGTGCATGATGCCACTAGTAGATCCTCGTAGGGCCTCAAGCCACGCAGAGACTGAAGCAGCGTCGCGGTCAAGTCTGTCTCATCGCCTTTCAAAAATCGCACAGTGTGAAATATCTCGGACAAAAGCTGTGGATGGAAGCAAGTAAGTTGTAAATATGAGGAAGAGTAATGTTCTGCAAGGTGTCATGTGAAGGATCAGTAGCATGTGTGTCTGCATTCTGGGTTAAAGGTTGGAATTAGTTTCATTTGTAGACATTGTTTAAGGGTGCTTAGGGTGAACCTCTTGTCTTATCTAGGTATTTGATACCTTGCTTCTGAGGTTTAGGGGAGAAATGCAATAATTGTTTTCCCTCTTATCTCTAAATTTAGCTTACATTTACAATTAAGTCACACCTGGAATGTACATACTATGTTAATATACACATGCCAATTTAATACATTTCTTCTGAAACATAATTGCCACTTGTTAGACTTTTTTCTGTCCTTTTTCTTAGAACTGCCTGAACTTTAATGAACTGTTGTTGTTATTTGTTAGTTTGTAATACACTATGCAAATTACAGTACTATGCTGTATTATAGCTTACATGTGTGATAGATGATTAAACTTACAAAGTACTTGAGGTGTACATCAAATAAATGTCTGTTTGGTCTTTAATAGAGTAGAGTATTAGGTAAATTTTCAATCTCACAATGCCTGAGACAAAATGAGGATTAACATGGGGAACTATCATGAGAAAGAACAACATTATTAATGAATTGCTTCTTATTTTCTTATAAACACAATACTGTACTTGAATGGTTGATGAGCATGTTTCCTGGTACTGTATTTGACAATCATGTTTAACAAGCTCACAAGTTAGAAAATTTAAATTACAGTAATATTTTAATAATACAGTATAAAAAAGTAGTTTATCATTCATGTCATAGGAGTCTCTGTGGCACAGTGGTAAGACACTCGTCCGTGCTTCGCGAGCGCTTTGGCTTGGGTTCGTATCCTGGCCAAGGTAGATGGACTGGGTGCCAGTCCTTAACTGTAGCCTCTGTTCACTCAGCAGTGAATGAGTACAGTACTGTACCTGGTTGTTAAACGATTTAGCGAGTCGTATTCTGGGAAAAATTAGGATTAAGGACCTGCCGAAATGCTATGCGTGCTAGTAGCTTTACAAGAATGTAAGAACTCGTGTATATAAAAAATAAATAAATAAATACATACAATGTTTATATATTAGTATATGAAAATTAAGTATTGTACAGTACTTTATATGGAGTTTAATACACTCACAAGATACAGCCCTAGAACATGATAAGTGACCTTAGGCCACATGTCTAGAAAAATGTGTCTAGTACAGTAAGTGTTGCCAGTGTTTACAGCAGAATCAGATATCACCCTATCCAGCAGTGCCAAAAATTAGCAACTTCTGTATGTTGCTTTCATACCCTCTTTACACCTAGTTTTAAAATTGTTACACAAGTTATGTTATGCATTTTTTAATGCTATATCTTGTTGTGTACAAGAGAGATATATTTTTTAGTAAAGATATTAGTAAATTTACAAACTTGTAGAGAGCATTTCTTGTGTACATAAATGTTTTAACCTTGTACCAAGATTTATTTGCATTCTTTTCCCAAAGTAGAAATGTTAAAAAACATAAAATATATAACATATAGCAGTTGTTCCCAACCTTCTTGGGAATGGCCATAGGTAATTAGACATACTTGGTGGGTTGTGACTGATTGGGAACCAGTGATATAGAGTATAGTAGACTAAAGGACAGAACACAAATCAATGTAGGCAATAAAGGGACACACTTTTTAGCTGTAATTTGCAACTAAATTCCTAAAATCCCTGTTTCATGGTAATTATGCTTATTTGTTGTATTTCTTTACATTTGGAACAAGTAAATCCTGATATTGTGTTCCTTGAACCATTTTGTATAGTATTATAAAATTACAATTTATATTACTTTAGTATCTAAAAGATATTTTAAATAATTTGTCAAGGTATCTATGGAAAGATCATATCTTGTTCTTATTAAAATTAAATTAAAAATAAAGAAAACTAAAAATAAAGAAAATTAAAAAAAAAATACCCTTGCTTCCACTCCTTGCACCAAAAAAATGAAGATTTTTTGGTTGTGTAGTATTTTTAATGATAAATATCTTTGAAAAATACACGCACACGCGCGCGCGCACACACACACACGCGCACGCACACACACACACACACACACACACACACACACACACACACACACACACACACACACACACACACACACACACACACACACACACACATAGACATGCTACTAAGTGGCTCCCAGAACTGAAGGGCAAGAGCTACAAGGAGAGGTTAGAGGCATTAAATATGCCAAAACTAGAAGACAGAAGAAAAAGAGGCGATATGATCATTACGTACAAAATAGTAACAGGAATTGATAAAATCGATAGGGAAGATTTCCCGAGACCTGGAACTTCAAGAACAAGAGGTCATAGATTTAAACTAACTAAACAAAGATGCCGAAGAAATATAAGAAAATTCGCTTTCGCAAACAGAGTGGTAGAGCATGTTTCCTTTTACCAAATGCATATGTTAACCTATCAGTAAGCAGGTACCCGGGAGTTAGACTACTGTTGTAGGGTTGCATCCTGGGAAGAGTCGGTAGTTTGACCTTTGGGGAATGTCGATACAAGCCTAAAGTGTGTGTACACAGAGTGGGTCCTCAGTAGCTCTCTGTTGTTGTCCTGTTCCCTTCTTCCTTGTGGGATGGAGAGGTTCAGATAAGGCAGCTCATGAGTGAAGAGGCAGCCTTGCTAGAGCACCAAGTGACCTTAGTTGCTACCTGGTAGAGATTAGGTGCATCAAGGCTAGGATGTTTATCTCATGGTAATGACTATTTGCCTCGTTACATCTGGGTACCTAATTTTCTTCAAGCAGATGCTTGTTTGGTTCCATTTATGCTTTATTTTTCTCTCTGTATTGTAGTTATCTTTGAACCCCAAATTCCACTCAACTCATACAGCCAAATCCTGGTTCTGTTTCCTAGTATTAGGTTGATCTCAAAGATCTGATGCATCTTTTGGAGTCATTCTGTACCATTGTTTAACCACCGTGCTGTGCTGAATTAAAATATGACATCCCCGCTGTGCGCTCAAAATAAATTCTTTGCAAATTTTTTTTTTCCTCCCAAAAGTGTTAAATACCCACCCCTTATCACATATATGCTGCACAAATGTACTTACTTTATACGCAGTAGTGTCCACAAAATGGTGTGTGACGTCACAGATCGAGTTGTGTAAAATCCTGGTTTGTGCTTCGGAGAGGCTACGGGATCCAGTAAGTTCAGTAGAACTTCGGTTTCAACTCTTTTTACCCTGTCGTAGCTCAGTCGATTAAGGCAGTGTCTGGGATGCTCCCGGACGCAGGTTCGAATCCTCGTCACGGCCCTTGTGGATTTGTTCATTTGATGCATCACGTTAGTGTGATCTCTGTGTGTAATTAATATAAAGTTCTTTTTTTTTCTTTCTTTCTTTCTTCAGAGTGATTAAATTACAGTATATAAGATGGTAGTGGATACCAAAACCATCAAAAGTTTTAAAACTTCATATGACAAATGTTATTGTTAACACTTTCGCGCTCTCAGCGCTCAAAAAAAAACAATACCCCAGATGCTTTCGGCACTTCGCGCGCCTACGCGGTAAGACCGAAAAGTGTACACTCTTTTGACTGTCCTGACAATAATTTAAGGCGCACGTATTTAAATTTGGTATCACTGTGTTCGCAATGAAATTGTCTATAAGAGCATACCTATAAAATGCCGCCCAAGCATGAGTATCAACACCAAATAAAAAACTATGCAGATCACTCGCCGAGAGCGCCAAACAGCAACAAAATGTTTCCACTCTCTTAATGGTTGCGAAGCCTACAGTTGTCCTACATTGCTAATTTTGGTATCATTGGAATCGCAATAAAATTCTCTACACGGACATATGCATATGAATGTTTAATATAGGTAATTGCCCACCCGCAAGAGTGTGTGAAGTGGAGAGTAGTTAGCCGCGAGCGCACTGGCGAAAACACAGGGGGAAAATCATGCTTGGAAAGTTTATACGTTTCCTGACCCTACTTTTCTATGTACGTATTTCTTTTTTATACCAATGTGTTCGCAATAAAATTTTCTATAAGATGAACTGTATAACATTTGTACAAAGCATGTGTAAGAGAAGCGCCAAATATAGAACCACGTCGCTCAGTATGCGTTCGCGGCAGAAACGAACGCATTGTTTTCGTTCGTTTGATGTTTGTCATGTTTATACTTGTTGAAACATTTTATAATTTGTATGACAGTGATCGCAGTAAAATTCCCTACACAGACATATACATAACACATACAAATATTTCCCACGTGTTGGATATATCAACGGCTAAAGGGAACCCACTGCCACACGCTCGCCACACCCCCAAACATACTTTGTGTATTTTTTTTTTTTACTCATAGAAGTTTATGTGATATAATATTCATTCTGGTACCAAAACATTTGCAAATAAATTCCCTACAAAACAAAAGTATCCCCATCCATTTCGGTTAAAAAATGGAATTTATAGAAATATTTTTTCGATGGACGAGAAAACTCTGCTGTTATGCGGAATCGTAAGAGAAAACGGCGACGAGTTATCTCTAATCTAAAGCGCGAAAGTGTTAAGAAAGAATGGTACAAGCATAGCTCTCATCCTTAAACTACTCTTGGTAATTACCAGATGGTAGTAAAGTAAGCATACATATATACAGTACACACATACATACATTCACATTTACATTCTCACTTTCACTCTCTGGCACCTGCCAACTCCTTTGTTCAACTGCTGAAAATTATTGCACATTTTTAGAATTGTCTTTATTGTACAGTATAAGTTTTTCTTTAATTTAAATGTTAGGATTTTGTCTACAATATAATCCATTGTTACCCTGCTGTTGACATCAGAGATGACATGGCTCTCAAAAATAAATGACCTGATTTAGGATTATGTTTACTACTGAGCAACAACAGGTCATGTCACTCTGTCTACTCCAAGACTGACCAGTGTAATGAGGTTCCTTATTCTAATGGACACCCTTTTCCATTGAACCAAGATTTTTCCGATAGCCAATCTTTTTCTTTACACCAAGGGCCCTATTAAATATCATCTATTCTATTGAGGCTATACTATTTTATGTTCATAAAATAAATATAAGCTATGTTCACAATTAATTTAAATATATTACAATCTTGGCTATGTATTTTTTTGTATCCAAGATCTATTCTTATGAGTTAAAGTGAATTTAGGCAGCATTGATGATGCTACAGGCTCCGAAAGCTATCACTGAGTATGAGTAATTGTTAACTTCTCCCCAATGCTGCTCTTGATGAGACTCAGAAGTCACCCTAAGAAGCCTGAGAAGCAAGTTTCCGCAAAGGATCGTCAGCATCTTCTGCAGCAGCAGCAGCAGTCTCAAAAACAGCTGCAGGCGAAGGTGGGGTAGTGGCTAGTATGGGTGAGAGGCACTTGTGCACCTGGTTCTTGTGGCGGCAAGTTATTTATGCACTGAATTCATGCTAAATGTTGACAGATGCCTAAAAGGGAAATCCATTCATCCCTTTTTGCATGCTTTAATCAGCCACATTCAGTTCTTGCTATGTATGTATGAAAGGACTGTTTATGTATGTGTTACTGTATGTGTACAATACAGTATACTGTATGTATGTTGATATTCAGAGTATATGTAATATATACTGTATACCTACCGATATATTACATATATATTTGTGTTTGCTTGTTATAAATAAATGATCATGCTACAGTATTGAAAACACCATATGAAATAAGAACAAATAATTCAAGAGTTTTCATTGCATTTTATTACATTTTCAAAAGTCCAGCATTAGTTTTTATTTCACAGTTCTCTATTTGTTTGTCTATTAAAGTTACACTTGACTGTCACAAAAATGCATAGAATTTTTTTTTTTTTTATATTATGTGGTGTTTTGTGTGCATGTGTGTGCATGCATGTGCGCATGCATTTGTGTGTGTGTAATTACCTAAGTGTAATTGCCTAAATGTGTGGGTGTGAGAGAGTGTGTGTGTGTGTGTGTGTGCGTGCGTGCGTGCATGCACGCGCATATGTGCTTGCTTGCCTAGTTGCACTCCCCTTGTTGTATTTGTTGTGGAAGAGTCATGGCTCTTAGGTCTGAACCCTTAATTGACTGGTGTACTGTATAGGTTCCAAAGCATATTGGTCTCTCTTATTTCTACATTTAAAGCTGGTATGGAATTTGCCTACACTGCTTCACTTCGTAGTACATTTTATTTGCAAAAATTCTTTCTAATATGTATGGCTCATTTGGGTAGTTAATTTATTACTCATGCTAAATAGTTTGTTCTGATTAGTTCCCTAACTATTTTGTATATTGTAATCATGTCCTTGTTTATTCTCTTCCAATTAAGTAAGGTTTAACTCATTTAGTATTTCCCTGTAGGTTATTCCTCATGGCTCTGGGATTAGTCTGGTGGCACATTTCTGAATTTCCTCTAGCTTTGTTTCGTGTTTAACACAATAAGGACTCAGTACTAGTGTCGCATATTCCAGAATTAGTCTGATATGCAAAATACAGAATGACTTAGATTTATAAAGGCAGTACTTATATTAGCTAATCTGAAGATATTCTTTTGATATGGGCCTCTAGTAACAGATTCAGTGTAAGATCAATTCTCCCAAGTCTTTTTCACTGTCCGATACCAGGAGGATTTCCTCCCCCATGTAATACCTTGTGTCCAGCCTCCTGATGCCCGGACTCAGGTTCATTACTTTACAGTTCCTCGAGTTGAATTCTAGTAGCCACTTGAGGGACCAACTTTAATTTTGGCCAGGTCCTTCTATACTTTCACGTAGTTTTACCATCTTATCTTCCTCGTAACTTTTTCATCATCAGCAAACTTTGAGAGGAAGGAATCTTCTCTGGTTGGTCATTTACTTAAATTAGGAATGGGATCAGCCCAATACTGACCCTTGTACCCTTGTGGAATGCCACAAGGGTACAAGGGTCATCCCACCACTCTGAGATCTCTCTTCTCACTGTGGCTCTGTTTTTTGTTGCAGAGGTACTCCTTTATCCACTGGAGTACTTTCTTTGTCACGCTTACCAGTTTCTCTATTTAGTGCACTTGTCTTCTGTAGGGTACTCTGTCAAATGCTTTCTGACAAATACATGTAATCCAGCCATCCTTTATCTTGTCTGACCTCAGCCACCTATTTGTAGAACTATCAAGTTTGTGAGGCAGGATTTGTTATATCGGAGACCATGCTGGTGTTGTCTTGTGAGATCCTCTTCTCTCAAGATGTTCTTCTAACCACCACCTTAAAATCTTTTTATTACCTTGCATGATATGCAAGTAAGAGACACTGGCCTGTAGTTTAGTGCCTACTTTCTGTCACTTTTTGCATATTGCCACTACATTTGCTGCATTCCAACTCTGGCAGTTCTGTTTCCAGTGCTGTTATATATCATAGTATTGTTGGTGTCCAGAACAAGACTTTTACTCCTTTTAAAGTACAGTATACATGGTGATATCTAGTTCCACAGCCTTAGCCAGGTCCAGCTCCATCAGGTACTTTTTACTTCATCTCTGGTTATCTCAAAGTCTTTCAGTGTTGCTTTATTTGGTTCCTTCCCCCTTAGGTCAGGAACTTTATCTTACTCTATTGTGAAAACCTGCTGGAACCTCCTGTTGAGTTCCTCACACACTTCTCCATCATCCTCTGTGAATGAGTCCTGTCTTATCCTCACTTTTATCACTTGTTCTATAATTGTTGCTTTTTCTCCTGATATGATTGAAGCAATTTGAGTTGGTGTGTGTGTGTGTGCGCGCGCGCGCGTGTGTGCACATACATACATACATACATAAATTATGGCGGGACCAGAGAGCCGAAGCTCAACCCTGCAAGCACAACTAGGTGAGTACATACATACATACATACATACATACATACATACATACATACATACATACATACATACACTGTACACACAGTATAGTACAGTACAGAACTGTAGTCTGTCACATATGCAGTGTGTGTAAAATTTCATATGATCTTCACTGTTTTTTTTTTTTTATATATTTAGCTTTAGAAGCCATGGTGTTTTAACACATGTATTTTGTGCTATTGGAGACAAAACCTGTATGTATGACTGATAAATTTGCCCTAATTTGTTCATATTTTTATAATATAGGTGTGTACATGCCTCATGTGAAGGCACATTGTGTGTATATTGTGTATGCACATTATAAATGTGTGTGCATGTAATTACTTGAGTGTAGTTACAGGATGAAAGCTCTTGATGTTTTGTCTTCTCTATGATCTTTGTCATATGATGCTTTGAAACTATTGATGGTTTTGACATCCACCAACTTCTCTCTGAATTTAGTCCAACCATCTGCAACTCTGTTTGCAAGAGAACTCTTGTGTATATTTTTTTGCGCCTTTGTTTCCTTAACTTGAATCTATGACCTTTTGCTCTTGAAGTTGCAATTTTAAAAAATTCCACTGTGTCAGTTTAGTTGTTATTTTGTATGTGATGATCATATTGCCGCCTTTTTCCTTCTATCTTCCAGCCTTTGCATATTAAATGCATTCTAACCACTCTTCATAGCCCATGTTCTAAATTCCAGAAGCCATTTAGTAGCATATCTCTGTACCCTTTCAAGTTGATTGATGTTCAGTACTTTTATATGGACACCACACAACTACTGTATCTTCCAATTTTGGTTTCATGAATGTCATGAACAGTTCCTTTATATTTCTCCATCCATATATTTAAACACAAATCTAAAATTTACAAGCATAGTATAGGCTCCTTTCATAACACCTTTTGATGTTATGCACTGGTGATAGCTTGCTATGCAGAACCACTCATAGATCTCTTGTCAGTTCTTTGATATCTTTTCACATTATTTATGGTTGAGTTTGGCCTGTTTTCTCCTATTCCACATTCCCATATACTGAATCTATTTACATTGAATTCCATCTCCTATGTGTTTGCTCCATTCACATATTTTGACTAGGTCATTTTGAAGGGCACGGCAGTCATCAAAGTCATTTACTCTCCTGGCTCAATGCCTCCTTGTAGGGCTTGCAGGGTCCTCATGTTTATCTTACTTTCTCAGGTTTTGTTCAAGTTCATTTTTGTTGCTTAGTTTCCACTTGGCATCGTTTAGATGATTTCTGGTCCAGCAGGCAGGGTGCTTGGTTTATGTTGCTGACTATCTGGAATTCATCTTGGCATATCCCAGTTTCTCCTGGCTCAGGGACTGCCTGGTTTTTGGTGTGGGGGTTTTTAGTCACTTCGTCGGTCCCTGGCATGCAGGCTCTTCTATGGTCTGACATGGGTCATTGCTTTTTTTTTTTTTTTTTGCTTTGGGGTCCCACATCTTAGTCTGGCTTAAAGACTCGCTAGTTTTGCCAGCCAGTCAGTTTGTCTGCTTCTCTCACTCCTTGGACAGCCCTTTTGTTTTTCTCCCCCATGGTAAGATGACTCTGGGAGATATAGAAAGGAGCCTTTCCAAAAATTCAGTGTTGAATGTAATAAATAAATATATGTTTGTGCAGGTAAAAGTACATACATACAAGATGAGCTACAAACAGAATGTTGGATTTCTAGATAGAGCTGGTACATACTATGCCTAAAGCCACTAATACACACAGCGTTTCAGGCAATGAAATGTCTCTTTATGGTGAGTTCCCTCTGTATCTTCCCATTCCCATCTTTCGCATATTTGAGGAGCTTTGCTTGAGTGGTATATAAATGACTGGGATAGCTGCCCCCAGACTCTTGGGTTGTTGGGGCTGCCATCTGGGGGGTGAGGGTGTGGAGCTAACTAGTGGTTGGACCTTGACACGGGTGTCAACATAATTCGAATCGGTGTTGCAAATATTGTCCTAGCAGTTACTTGCTTTGGTATGGTGAACCTTTCTGCTGGTTTTCCATTGGTAGTGTGGTTGATCTAGTATAGTATCCCCAGTCTCTTATTTCTGCATTGAGGAGTTTAAGAATGTAATCCAGGCCCCTGGTAGGCAGTCATGATTTGTTAGAGCCTGGTGTGGTACCCTTAATCATATGCTCAAAATACCTATGTATGGTATGCTTATTGTTAACGGGCTATGTACCTCCATAGTTGCAGAATTTAGAACCATTTACAAATATTGGAGAAGGTGGGGAAGTAAGATCTTGGGTGATATAAAAAATACAACGATCTCATTTTCTGCACCTGTGTCCTGATGCCAGGGGATAATCCTAATAGCATACCTGCAAACAATTAACTAAAAGTTTTACAATACAATGTTATATAGATTTTGTATATATTGCACAAATGGTAAAAGATATTTCATTAACAGTTGGACTATTGCATATCGTTTAACCATACCACATTACAACATATGTAAATTTAACTCTTCTTAATCTTAATAATTTTAAATTG